AGGTCCAGACCCTACCCGAGGTCAGTCTGCAGCAGGCCTGAGGGACTTATTTTCTAGGTGTCAACACAGCAGGGAAGGGCGGGGCTGGTGAGGCCTGGGGGAGCCTGGAGCGTGGCACGCCTGGTCTGTGCTCTGAGCACGAGGACTTGGGAGTAGGGGCAGCTGTGGGGCTGTCTGACCAGGCTTCCAGCCATTGACACGTCCTGAGCACACGTGGGTGCCAGCCCCCGTGCAGGGAGCCACAAAGCTGCGACAGGCACAGTCCCCACTTAGAGAGGTCACGGTCACGATTTAACGAGGGAGACAGGCTTCATTCATCGTTCGTTCATTCCCTTATCAGAGCTTGCTCATGCACGCCAGCAGAACCACAAAGTATGCGGGAGCCCGGCCTCCAGGTGGCCAGGACAGCCTGTTCGAGCTGGATAGTGACACGGGTGAGGCCCCGGGCATTCCGGTGGAGCGCCATGCACCACAGCCCTGGTCCCACATGCATGGCCACCACCAGCCCCTTGGTGCCCCTGGCTCTCATCCTGGATGGGAGGCCCTGGTGGGCATGGCAGCAGCGGCCCAGCTAGGGGAGCGTGCCCCTGGGTGGACAGGCCCCGTGCTCTGCAGTTGCCCTCCCCCGGCCCCGACGGAGGAGGCGGTACAGGCAGCAGGCGTTACCTTGGCCTCGGACAGGGGCTCACACTCCCTGGTGGGTTTTTTGCTGCAACCGCCAGAGGGAGGGAAAAGGGCAGTGAGAAGGGACACTAGGCTGTGTGGGATGCCCATCCCCTACCCTGGAAGCACTCCGACCCCAGACCTCAGGTGGACAGAGCTGCTGCCCGGGCAGTCTCCACGAGCAGGTGGACAGACACCTCACTGCCATGACGCGAGGGTCCTGGGAAAAGGCCTGCCCCCACTGACCTGTCCCAGGGTCTGAAATTCCACCATCAAGCACCCATGCTTCTGGGTCACAAAATGCTTCCTGTCAAAGCCCCCCAGTTACAGCCAAGCCCTCCTGGGAAGGGGGAGACTGCGGTGTGGAGCAGCTGTCTGCAAAAGGCGGGGCCCAACCCAGACGGGGCAGCGGGGGGCACAGCCTGCAGCTTCTCTGGCTTTCCTGGCGTGCCCAGCGGGTCCTGTCGGGGTCTTTCCAGACAGTGCGCCACCCTGGGGTGGGGAGCAGGCAGGGCTCCCTGTCAGCCTCCAGCCCCCACCCAGTGGGGAGGAAGGCCTGGATACTCACATGAGCAGATTCCCAGGCGCAGACAACGAACGCTCCTCCCGCCGGCTGCCCTCAAACGGGTTTCCAAAGGAACGTTTGCGAATCATGGTCTTCACCAGGATCTGCAGAGGGAGAGGAGAGGGGGACTGGTGACTGCTCGGCAGGACACACCCTCTCTTCCCTCCTGCCGTTCCCCAGTCCGCTCTCACCCAGGCCCTCCAACTCCCAGAGCTGGTGGCCGATGGCCGGTCTTTGAGGGAAGCTGTTTGGACAGCATCCTTCCCACCAAGCCACAGCAGCAAGGCCATCACCAGGTCTGACTTGCTCCAAACTCGTCCGCGACCACACCCCAGCAGGGGCCAAACTACTGCTGTCCAGGCGTAATTCTGGGGGTGGGGACTACATTTTTTTTTTTTAGATATAATCTACATTCTATAAAATTCACCCTTTTAAAGTATACAGTTCAGTGGCATTTAGCATGTTCAAAATGTTGTGCAACCATCATCTCTAATTCCAGAACATTCTCATCACTCCAAAAAGAAACCCTGTATCTGTTAGCAGTCACTCACTATCCACCCCCACACCCCAGCCCCAGCCCCTGGCAATCACTAATCTGTTGTCTCTATGGATTTACCTGTTACAGAATTTCATATAAACGGAATCAAACAACATGTGGCCTTTTACTTAGCATGATGTTTTCAAGGTTCATCACAATGTAGCCTGCATCCATGCTTCATTCCTTTTTATGGCAGAATAATGTTCCACTGTGTGGACAGACCACCATGTGTCCTATCCATTCATGTGCTGGACACTTGGGTTGTCTTCCACCTTTGGGCTACTGTGAACAATAATGTCATGAACATGCATGTACAAGTCTCTGTGTGGACATATGTTTTCAGTCCTCCTGCGTATATGCCTAGAAGTGGAATTGCCGGGTCATAGGCTAAGGCTACGTTTAACTTTTTGAAGAACTGCCAGGCTGTTACCCACAGTGGCTGCACCATCTTACAGCCCCACTAGCAGTATATGAGGGCTCTGATCTCCCGAGGGGGCTGCATTCTAGTCAAGGACAGCAAACATCTGTCCAAGTGTAAGGTGCTGCGGAAACAGCCCAAGACCCTGGGGGCGGCTGCTACACTGGCTAATGGGTGGGACGAGAGCTCAGAGGTCCTGGGAGGCCCTTCTACCCTGGTGGGAGGCTGGGCTGGCCCCCTCCACTGCAGAGGGCGGGAGTTCTTTGGTGCCCCCCACTCTCTTGGCCACTCTGAGCCCATACTGGCCCCCAGCTTGATTGGGAACGACGCTGCCTGGAGGGCAGGGGATCCTCTGGGACAAGGTGATATCCCTCCATCACCTCCTAGGCCCCTGCCTGCCACCTCATCCTACCATCCATTTTAGAACCTACTTGGGAGCCGTGCTGCTCTCCCCAGAAAGCCTCACTATAAGAGGATTTTCACACCTTCTTGGTGTGTGTGTGCTGCTATCAGTCTCAACATCCAAACCAAATTCTGGGTGAGGGGATCCATCCTATTTCTTCCTAGCACCCTCGTTACATGGAACACATGTTTGTGGATGAATGAGCGGCATCTGCCTCTCCGTGATGACAGGGCTGTGTCGGTTCTGCTCCCTGCTGCACTCCCAGCTCCCAGCACAGACCTCAGAAGCCAATCGGTGCTCAAGAAGTGTTTCCTGTTGTGTAATATTTACAACAACGCCAAAAAAGAAAGAGTAGCTGCTGAGGCTGCTGTGTACAACCAAAACCTCATAGGATTTGGCTCCTTGGTTTGGAGGTTGAGGGTCATGGTTTCATGGGACAGCCCAGTTAACTGGCCTAATAACGTGTTTAGTGCTTCTGTTCTATTTCCTAGTTTGTCGCATACTACCTGGGGTCTTAAAATTACAAGCAGCCATCCAAGGCAAGACAATTGGTCTCTATTCACCTGGAACAACAGAAGGAGAGCCAAGGATAGAAAAAGGATATGGAATGTGTGGCTAATTGCCTCCAAGAACAACTGTCTCCTTTGCCATGAGACCAGAACTGGATGGTGCCCAGCTACCATTACTGAACATTTTGATCAAAGATTCCACAGAAAAATCCTGATCAAAAGGGAGAAAATGCAGAACAGAATTTCAAATTCTCATGGAATTCAGACTTTCTGGAGCCATGGAGGCTAGATGAACCCCTGAAACTACTGCCCTGAGATGATCTTTAAACTTTCAACCAAAAATATCCCCTGAAGTCTTCTGAAAACCAAACAATAGTTTAGCTTAACTAGTAAAAAAGTGAGAACAGCAACTGGAAAAATTAGATAGGTACCTTAGGGGGAAGTGAGTTTATATTAACGGGGGAGGAACAACTTAGAAAAGGAAGGCGAGAATGGTTGCACAACTCGAAGAATGTAATCAATGTCACTGAACTGCACACGCAGAAAGAGTTGAACTGGTGTATGTTTTGCTGTGTACATTGCCAACAACAACAAAATAAAATACACAAAAAAGGAAGTGTTTCCTGAATAATGAATGACCACTGCCGACCTCTAGCGTCAGCCAAGTTCTCCCAACAACCCACAGGTGGGAGCTGGGGGGAGAGGGAATGGGGAGAGGACTGGCTCGGGATCTCCCTACCCCTCCCTCACAACTTAGGACAGAGCCGGGAACAGAAGCACCCACGACGGGCACTGGGCGTCTGAACTGGCTGCCATCCCCACTACAGTGCAGGGAGTGGTTGCAGTGGGTGGAGGTGCCGATGAGGAGAAGTGGCACAGGTGAGCTTTCACGGGAAGGTCATGCAGACGCCCCAGGCAGGGAGGAGGAAGATATGATGACGCCCCACCCCGGAGGCTCCAGTTTGGAAGAAGAAGAGTGTGGGGAAGCAGAAGGGAGGGGTGCGAAGCTGCAAGAGAAGGAGCTAGCATCTGGGCTCCTAAAAGGGGCATGTCCTCGAAGTGGACACTCTGGGGCTCTGCAGGCAGTCTAGGTGGCATCCCCAGAGTCCCCGGCCCTCCCTGCCTGCTGTGCCAGGGCTGGCCAAACACGGTCAGTCACACCCCATGGCTTTCAGGGTGCCCACGGTGAGGGTGGCCAGCTGCGGTCTGCCCCCCAGGACTGCCACATGGACCCCTGACCTCTGGGGCTCCAGGTGTCCCTCCCAGGCAAGGCTTGGCGAGCAGATGACTCCCAGAGTCTCCAAGATTAGGCCTGAAGGACTCCATGTTCTAGCTCCTTCTTCCTGGGTCTAACCCAAACTCCTGGCTATAAAAGGGGGGCCCAGTGGCTCCTAAGCAGTATCCTGCTCTCAAGAATCAGGAAGAACTTTCTGACACTTGCGAAGTGGGCCCCTGCCCCTATCCCTGGTAGCAGCCTACCCAGCAGAGGCACCTCTATGCCTTTAGCTCTGGACACAGAAGGTCTAGGTGGGTGGGAGGGAGTTCCACCTTGGAGGCCTTGGCTCCAGCTCCAGTCCAGGCCCCTGCCCTCTGCCATCTGCCCCTCCTCCTCCCCCCTTGACATGCTCTGAAAGCAGGAAGAGCTGGGTTTCCAGAAGGGGTCGGGGATCCTTGGACAGGGCCCCCCCACCAGGTAGCCCTGGGACCTGGCTAGAGACAGAACCTAGAGTGCTAAGAGGCAGGGTCACCTGGCCTGCTGTGACAAGGCCCAAAGAAGGCCAGCAGCTGTGGGTGAGAGGCAGACCCTCAGGCCCAACATCTGCTCTCAGATGCCACTGCTGGACCCCACCAGGCCACTGTGGGCTCTGTCCCTGCTCTCGGGCAGTGGTCCATGCCACCTTACCACAGTCGCCAGGCTGGGAATGTGTTTGACCGAGTTCTCGACCTCCTCTTCGGTCACCTCGACCAGCGTGCAGTTCTCGTCCTCCGACGGCAGCGGCTCCGCCCCGTGCCTCGTGACCCAGGGGTGCAGCTTCAACGAACGACAGGACGGTGAGGCGGTGGCCGGCTTGAGGAGGACGAGAGCACACAGGGGCCTGCAGCACGGGGCGGAGGGCATGCGCAGGCCTGTGGCCGGGCATGCAGAGAACGGGCAGATGGGCATGCAGAGAGCGGGTGGGCGAGAGAGACGGGAGGAGACAGGGAAAGGCGGAGAAACAGAATGGGAGGAGGCTTCGAGGCTGAAACGTGTGCTGGACCAGCGTCCCTGTCTGGCTGCGGTCTCAACAGAAGTGACCAGAATTAGGCATTGGCCTGCACAGTAGCTGGAGGTGTACCTCT